GTTCTCCTTTTGGGCCTGCATCTAGGATTTCCTGTGTCAGCTTCTCAGATCACGTACCATTGGGCAAGAGGACATGATTTTTTTGAAAGAGGGTTTTCTCAGGCAGACGGCTGTGCAAAAGGGCAGCATGGTCACGTTTTGTTGTTTAAAAATGTAGAGTGGTCATTCCTCACAGGGGTGAAACTCTGGGCTCCAGTGGTTACAACATCGGGTTATCTCAGGGATGCTTAGTTCCTCATGGTGGGGCCAGGTGGGGAGGCCCCGTTTGTGACCCAGTGTGCCCACTATGTTATGCTGAGGTCCCCACCACAGACGCAAACCCAACTCAGCACATCTTCCCTCCCTGTCCTTATCACTGGGCTAAGCAATAGCCCCTCCCACATGTTGACCCCCAAACTGATTTATCCCTTTTCTCAAGTTACCCACCTAGCGACAGCAAGGCCTTTAGAAGGGCATCCCTGAGTTGGACTAGTTACCTGTTCCATCCCTGGTATTTGGGAAGGAAGCTAAATGAGTGAAGACAGTTACTAACCAGTTTCCTCACTGGTTTCTATCATTAACTCATTTTATTTGGCCATGTAGTAAAAATTCTCCTGTATGTCTGACATTGTTCTCCCTGCTGAAAGCAAATCTGGGCATGACAGTAGCAGTGATAATAATGACTTAAAAGCCCCTCTCCCCAAGTGTCTTTTGCCCAGGCCTTCAAAAAGCTCACTTTTTTTTTTTTTTATCAAAGTAATGTGATAAAATGGGAGGGAGACAGGGTACTGTGGGGGGGACCTGCAGGGGGCCCATGACTCAGTAAGCTGAGGGACAGAGGTTTTATTTGAACTGGAGATGGGGAGGAGAGAGGTCTGGGGAGAAGAGAAGTATCAAGTCTTGGGGCAGAGTGGAGAAGAGTGGGGACAGGAAGACAGGAAGGTGCTCTGCATCCACCTGGAGGACTAGCATGTGGGCAGGGAGGAGGTGCTGAGCATGAGGTAGTGAGAAGCCACAGGGGAAGCCCACGGAAACTGAAGCAACTTCTTGCCTCAGGGTCAGTGTGATTTTTAGATGCTCTCAGCTTCCTCTCCCATCCTCAAAGCTGGAGCAAAAGTGCAGTCATAAACTCCAGATATAGACCTCAGGATCAGAAATCTGGCACTATCATCCCCATTTTATTTATTTTTTAAAAGTTGTATTTATTTATGCATACAGAGCTGGGGTACAGGGGTGGTGAGAAGATTCACCAGAGACAGAGTGGGGAGCAGAACAGGCAGACTGATGAAAGTACACTGCTGAGGGGAGCAGCAGGCGGGTCAGGGGAGGTCTGTGAGGCCATGTGGATTACCTCTGGGGCAGTGGGGATCAAACTCATGCTAAATTGGCTTTAGCTTCTTAGTGCTGTGCTTTAACCTGCTGCGCCACTAGGGAGGGCCCAACCTCATCCCTATTTTAAAGTTGGCAAGATGTGAGCCTACTTGCCCAAGATCAAAGAGTCAGAAAATGCAGAGCCAGGTTGTTCCCTAATCAAAAACTTGAGATGTTTTTCAGATGAACTTTCTTTTATGAAGGCCTAAAGGGTCTCCTGAGCTCTGTAAAAATACAAAGAACTTGGGGGCCTCCCCAGTGGTGCTGGGGGTTAAGTCTAAGCATTATGAAGCTAGTCGCAGCCACTACATGAGTTCAATCCCAGGCAAGGGAGGTGACCCACATGGCACAGCAGACCTCTCCTGTCTCACCCACTGCTCCTCATCTCTGTCTCTGGTGAATCCTCTCTCCTCCCCCCAACACAACTCTGGCCTACACTCCAGCTCTTATATACATAAATAAATCTTAAAAAAATACTAAGAACTCTTATTCATACAGAGGCTGTATTTAAGGAAAAATCTACCTTAATTCAGTGAGTGTGTGACTCTGAAACTAACAGGTGTGTGACAGCCCCTATTCTGGCCACATGAGGTCAGCATTGAGTCACCCACTGACTTCAGCACTCAGGCAGCCCTCTGATAGACAGCACTTCTGAGGGCACATCAAAAATGGGAAGAGGGACCTTGGCATTGTCACCTGGAACGATGACCTGGGGTCTATGATTCAGTCCACAGCACGCTCAAGGCCGTGGATTCACTTCCTCAGTTCCAGTTTTCTGTGAGGCTGGGCCCCGTAGATCATTTTCACTCTGCTGGTGTTTTCTGGTTCCTTTTGTTTTGCTGCCTCTCCAGCCAGCACCCAACCCAGCCAGATTCCTCTACAGGAACTCAGCCTGGTGAGAAAGAACTAACAGAGGGCACAAGGGAGGACTCTGGAACCAACCTTGTATCATCCATACCCAAAAGAACAGTCTCAGAGAAGCAATGAAGTGTGCACATCATCTTAGGCTGGAATGGGAAACCTGAGTTCTAATTCTTAATGCTTAAGAACTGTGTGACCTTGGGCAATTGGTCACACATTAGAATCCCTAATGTAGCACATGGAACATTGTAGGATTCCAGAGTGATATGCACACAGAGACTGATCATACATAGCCTTTATCCCATTCATTGGTAATGAGTGGTTTCCATGTCTCCTCTTCCCTATTAATTAGGCTTTGTGCTCTTTATGCATAGGAAATCATGTTTTTCATTTCATGAATGGGACACACAGTAGGTATCTAATACCTGCTTCTCGAATGGCTGCATCTGGGAATGACTGACTGACTGACTGAATGAATGTTAGTTTCCTTCCTGTTTGTTAGGGGTGGGGTTAGGAGGGAGCATGTAGTTTGGAAAAGGACTGTGGAAGGATGGTATGAAGGGGTAGGTTATCTGCAGTCACAGCCTGGCCTGTGGTCTGTGACTTTGCCTCCTACACACATACAGGTCAGACCCTTAAAACTGACCAATCAAATTCCTCACTGCACAGAGGAAACTAAGACAGAGAGGGGACACCAATTGCCCAAGGTCACACAGTTCTTAAGGATTAAGAATTAGAACTCAGGTTTCCCATTCCAGCCTAAGATGATGTGCACACTTCATTGCTTCTCTGGGACTGTTCTGGGGATGGATGATACAAGGCTGGTTCCAGAGTCCTCCCCTCTGCCCTCCTTAGTTCTTTCTCACTTTTAGCTCCAATCCTTTCCCTTTCACCTTATTTCTGTTCCTGTTCCGCTAGATCTGGTCTCTAAAGTCTGGCTCCTGACTTAACTCTCTAGCACCCAACTGGGGAACAAGGATCATCCCTAAGATTCCGAAATTCAATTCCCCTCCCCGCCCCCCCTCCAGCCCCAGGAACTTGCAGGAACCAAGGATGGGGAAGGATGTTGGTAAACCATTGGCGCTTCCTCAGCAGAGGATAGAGGAGAGGAGTTGCGGCACAGACCTTAGGATGGTGTTGGTGGTTGAGGGTGGGAGTGCAACGAGCAGGCTGGGACCTGGAAGGGGTGCCAGGAGCCCCTGTTGCTTCTCTTCTTTGGGGGTAGTTATTAAATAGGTTTGGGGAAGGCGGAGTTTGGGGGGCCGGGGGCGGGGCTCCTGCGCTGGGAGGAAGGGGGGGGCGCGCTGGCTCCAGC